TTTAGGGGGATATTGCAAAACTTTATTATGTAATTTAGTTAATTATTTTTTATAATTTTGTCTCTAAAGGTACCGGTAGCTTGTAAAGCGTGTCCCTGTGGCCATTCATTTTTTAATGCACGTAGAAATTCAATGAAAAGTCCACCAAGTCCTGATGGTTCTGGGGCAATGAAAACAAGACGGACTAATCGGATAAAACGGCGTATTAATTATTATGATGCATTAGAATATGATAAACAAACTAAAAAAACTGCCAAGGTATGAACGCAATTTATTTAATTATTACTTGAATAACATGTCTTTTTGTTATTAAATGAAAAAAAATTTATAATTTGTTAGTTGTGGTGCAACTTTTTATACGAAATTTCTCTATATCTTAAAATGCCTCAGATAAAATTTCTACACTGAAAATAATAGTCTGTTCAAAAAATCCCTAATTCGTGAGTCCGGTAGAAAACAATTTAATAAAATATGACATTCTTCATATTGTGAATATTTCAGGAAAAAAATTTTTGGTAGGCGAATACTTTTTCTCCTCTCCGGGCGGAAAGCGTCAACTTTCGTCCCGCTGCGCTGAACGATAATGCCGCTTTCTGCCTCCGTCGATGGGAAATAGTATATTACACACCGAGGGAAGTAAAGTAAGAAATGTCTCAGATCACATGTAATTGTTGGCCGAGGCGAAGCCGAGGTACACCTTGGGCAGGAAATAAGAAGACATTTCTTATTTTCCTGCCCTAGGTGAGTAATATACTATTATATTTTTCTGAGGTTGTTTGTGTTCTTTTATTTAAATCCCTGAATAAAAAAAAAGTATTGAGACAAAGAAAAAAGTATTGAAAAGTATTGGATTGACTAGAATTTCTATTATATAATAGAATAGTCGAGATTAATCAATTTAAATTATTGATGACTTAAATGGCAATGAAAAACAAATATAAACGAAATAAAGTAGCCGTGCGCATTTCAAGACACCATTATATTATAGTAGTTTTTTTTATAATAAAATAAACATCATATCCACTCTTTCAAATGATTCATATAGTCTTCGTGTCGGATGACCTGAACAAGTGTGTGAAGAGAACCACCTTCGTTTTTTAAATTACTCTCCACACGAATTATTGTTCCATAATCAACTAAAGAGGAAGCAGAAGTCAATACCCGATAAAAAAAGTTTTTGTCTAATCATCTATAATCATGCGTAATGATCTATATATGATTGGATCCAAAAATTAGTCAGGTCTAATTATATATAATCATATATAACTATTTATAATTATATTGTATAACTATCCGTAAATTTTATATTTGTAATGACATAAAATTACGTCATGACGGAATTACAACGGCTACAAATCGACTTGGAAAGATATTCAGAACGGCGTACCCCAGGGTAGTGTGCTCGGTCCTTTACTTTTTACTCTGTACATTGCTGATCTTGCTAAGCGATTAAATTGTCAATATTTGTTCTATGCAGACGATCTAATTATATATACTTCATGTTGCCTGTCGCAAATAAATGAATATGTTATTATGCTGAATGATGAAATACAAAAGATTGTCGATTGGTGTAGTTTCAACTGTCTGAAATTAAATGCCTTAAAAACAAGTGCTATTATTCTTGGAAGTAGGCAAAAAATTAACAGTGATTATTGTAAAAATGCCCAAAATGTAGTTGTGAGTGATCATGTGATTCCGTATATTAAAACGGTTAAATACTTGGGCGTCATCATTGATAATACTTTAACATGGGAAAATCAAGTCGCAAGTGTATGCAATCGTGCTATGAAAACGTTGGCGCAATTGAAAATCAATAACGAAATTTTTAATGAACAATTACGCATAAAATTGGTCATGACTTTGATTTTTCCCATCTTCGATTACTGTTGTGCTGCTTACACGAATATATCAAGCAAATTACAGAATAGATTGCAGCGTAAAATAAATTCTTGCATTAGGTATGTTTTCAAAATTTCGAGATTCGAGTACACTACTCCATATTATAAAGAATTGGGCTGGTTAAAACTTAACTCGAGAAGAAATTATTTCATAGCTTGTCTATTTTATAAAGAAATTAAATTAAATTATAATCAATTGTTTAGATCAAAATTAGAATTTTTGCCAATTGCATTGAGGAGAGGTGACGTCAGGAATGACTATCTGCGTTTACCGAGAAGTAATTCTGCTATCTATGAAAATTCTTTCCTAATTCATGGCATAAGAATTTGGAATTCATTACCGGGAGATATTACAGAAATTGACACCTTTGAAAATTTTAAGCAAGCTTGTTTTAATTTCTTCTTGCAATCAATATGATTACCATTGATCTTATAAGTTAAGATGATAGTTATTAATTAATTTTGATTTTCAAATTGTATTGCAAATGCTGTATCAAATGTATACTTGTAAATAATTAACTTTATGTATTGTTGATGGTCCTGAAGGAGCTTAGAACTCCAGGATCAAATAAAATTTATTATCTATCTATCTATCTATATATAATTATATATAACAATATTTAATTACATATTATTAACTTCTATTTAATTATTTGGTTACTTTTATGAATGTAGTACTTGATATCGTCATAAGCAATTCTCTATAACCAATTGAAATACAAAAAAACATTTTGCATATAATTTTACGGCTATAACACCAGCGGTCACCCATCTAACTACTAACCTTGTTCAATGCTGTTTACCTTTGGTGATATCCGTGAGCCTTGAAGTTCCCGTCTGCTGGTGCTGCTATCTTATGTGACAATGATTCTATGAAGTGCATAACGCATCAAATCAGTTTATCATAAATATAATATAGAAATTAATTTCATAACATATTTTGATAGTCTTAATTTATTTATTTTACCGAATCTCATTATTACATCACAGTTATTTAAATAATAAAATAAATAATGATTTTACTGTTAGGCACTAGCAGAGCAGACCAAAACATCCCATAGGAAATGTAACAGGATTTTTTATTTCAGAATTATTTAAACGTAATGGTAAACATCATTTTGCACTTTTTGTGATTACCAAAAAAAAAATTTTTTTTTTTTCTAAGAAAAAATTTTGTTAAAATCTGACTATGCAAGTCTGATCAGATCTAATTGTATATAAACCTATATATTATCAGATCTGATCATATATAGACTTATACATATATGATTAGATGTGGAGTTATAACAGCGAGGTATAATCAGATTTAGTTATGTATAGGCTTATACACTCCGCGACAATAGTATAACCCACCCCTCGAATTTTTTTATATTTACTGTAAAACTAAATACAAGTAAATAAATTCCTAACGCGCCAGCATTTTTTTCTTGATTCTAGTACTATGGTATATATATAGTTGATAGTTACGTTTCGATGCTGCTTTGTTACGCAGCGGCGAAGTTATTGGTTTGATAGCGCGACAAAAGTATAACCCATTCGTCTCATTGGCTCAAGCAGCTCGGTGCACTGGACATGTCAATTCATGTTTATACTTGTTTCGTGTAACTCGTAAGTTCTTACACATAAATAAATTGTTTAAGTTAATATTTGTCTATTTTTTATTTAAAATGCCACGGGGAAAACACTTAAACGAAACTGAAATTAATATAATCAAAAAATTGCATTCTGAAAATTATTCTAAGGCCAAAATCGCAAAAATCATCAACAGAAGTCATCGTGTTGTGCGAAATTTTTTAAAAGATCCCGACAACTATGGTAAGAAAAAACGGACAGGTCGACCGAGAGCAACTACACCACGAGAAAGAAGGTCAATTCTAAGAGTTGCGTCAAATTCTACGCTTACCGCAAGACAAATCGCAGCGGAGGCTGGTGTTAGTACTAATTTAAGAAACGTTCAACGCATTATACGTGAGTATGAGCATTTAAAACGTAAAAAATTACCAAAAAAACCACCGTTGTCTGCTAAACATAAACTAGTTAGATTACAATTTGCAAAAGATCACGTTCAATGGAAAAAAAAGTGGCGAAAAGTTATTTTTTCTGATGAAAAGAAGTTTAATTTGGATGGACCTGATGGTTTTAATTACTATTTTCACGATTTAAGAAAAGATAATTTTATATTGAGCCGTCGGCAAGCCGGAGGTGGTAGTGTAATGGTATGGTCTGGCATTGGATACTCAGGTAAAATGGATATTAAGTTCTGTTCTGGAAAAATTAATAACTAGTAAACGATATATATAAGTAATAAACGAGCAAATTAACTCTCACGCAGTGCAAATTGCTGGTCCTAATTTTATTTTTCAACAAGATAATGCCAGTATCCATCGAGCAAAGGTAGTTAGAGACTACTTTAGTGAAAAAAATATTCAAGTTCTTGAATGGCCAGCATATTCTCCTGACTTGAACATAATTGAAAATTGTTAGGGAAATTTATCACGAGCTGTCTATCGTGGATCAAGACAATTTACTTCTGTTGAAGAGTTAAAAAAGGTCATAGTTGACGAGTGGCAAATATAAATCAAGACATAATTAAAAAGCTATATGACAGTTTACCAGACCGAATGATTGAGGTGATAAGTAAAAGTGGTGGATCTACTAAATATTAGATTACATGAATGATTATTGTTTGTTATATTTTTCTCGAATTTTTATTTAAATTTCATTACCTGGGTTATACTTTTGTCGCACTGCAAAACCCAATAGCATTTGTATTTGGTTAATTATGCATTTAATAAATAATGTATTGATAGTATAATAAACTTACTAACACCCAAATTTTGTGTATTAGTAATATATTAATATAACTATAATTCTTTATCAGATATGAAAAAATTAGGAGGGTGGGTTATACTTTTATCGCGGAGTGTAGATTTTTGATTAGATTTATTAATATTCTGATTAATGATATACTTGTTGATCAAAACTTTCGATTATGGTACAGATATATTATTACCGATATGACTTAATACTAATAATACTTAATACTCATAAGCCCACTCATGATTTATTAATAAATCTAATCAAAAATCTATGATAACTTTTATAATAATTAAATTCATCAAAATTTATCAAGATAGGTTGAATAAATTCATTGCTTGATTCGTAGAAATTTCAATGATGATAAGTGCTTAAAACCATATATGAACGAATAGAATGTCGAATCAATCAATAGTAAAGATTCTAAAAGTCAATAAGATGATGACACTTTTCGCTCTGTTTATTTCTTCTGCAGTGGTAATAGGTATGTTTTTAATTAACATTTTCTCTGATTATTATGTTATTAAATAGATTTTTGGTTGGAGCTTCGCACAAATTTTGAAGTGTTAAATTGTAAAATTTTTGAAATTTTATTATAGCTGATCCACTAAGAAGCAACCTCGACCTAAAAAATAGTGCACGAATAGTAGGCGGTAATAATGCAGATATTGAAGATTTTCCATACCAAGTAAATTTTCTGCTCGATAAACTTGACGAATGTGGAGGTGCCATCATCTCAGATAAATGGGTACTGACTTCTGCTTCCTGTTTAGTTGATAATGGAGCAATAATTCGTGTGGGAAGTAATTTAAAAAACAAAAGTGGTTCTCTTCACACAGTTGTTCAGGTGATCCGACACGAAGACTGAATCATTTAAAAGTGGATATACAATTAATGATATTGCGCTCGTTGAAGTCGATACACTATTTGTATTCGATAAAACGCGTCAACCAGTACTATTATTTGACAAAGATGAACAAGTTGACACTAACTCGTTTGGTAGTGTAGCAGGGTTTGGCTTGATTGAAACTGAAGTTTATCCTCATAATTTATCAAGTATTACTATTCCAATTCTACCTAAATATAAATGTAATGAGTTGTATGATATACTACATGGACTTCATCAAGGTCAATTTTGTGCGGGTTTCGAAGAAGGTGGACTCGGGTTTTGTGCTGGAGATATTGGCAGCCCCTTTGTTGTCAACGGACGAGCTGCAGGTTTGGCAACTAATTTTTTCGGATGCGGACTTCCACAATATCCGGGAATTTTCACTAACATTTCTCATTATCGATCATGGATCGATGGCAAATTGTCGACTAAATAAAAAAAAAAAAATTAGAATCGATCAATTCCACGATGATGTTCTCGATTTTGTTAATTAATATATTATATCAATATAAATAATGTTTATTTTATAATAAAAAATGACTATTATATAATGGTGTCTTTGTAACTTCTTGCTGAAGGAATTGGGAATAAAAACACATATTAGATTCAACTCTTGTGAAATTTTATCTTGTTACTTAATGAAGTGTCCATTTTAGTAGACTTTAGAGAAATAAAAATATTGCATTTGTCCTGATGACGGAACTTTTGAAAAATTTAATTTTTTTTTCGGCCATCTTGTCAAGCTGATTAAAAAAATGCATATGGTTCAAAAGTTTATATAGGGTAGAAGCGCCATTTGTAGACACTATATCGTTTTTGGACATTTGATGTCCAAATTATTGAATAAATAAATTATAAACGTAATGTAAGCGTTTAAAAATTTTATGAAAATATTACTTTATCATTACAATTCCTGATATGGACGGTCCATATCAGGCCATATCAGGTCTGATCAGAATATTTTTTCACGGGGGCTCAAAATACATGTATTGGAAAATATTTTCAAATTTTTAAAGTAGCAGAATGAATTCGAAAAATAATCAAAATTAGAGGAATAATAGCATAAATTGAAGGTAATTACGTAAAATTGAAGATAAATTTGATAGATTTCAGTTATCTTCCATGATTTGAAAATTATTTCCATAAAATTGACGGAATTCTAATTTTTTTGAAAATAAAAACAATTTTTAAACACCCACAACTCGTAAACTAACCGGTCGATTTTGCTTATCTTCGAACTTTATCTTGGTATTGATCCACAGAATGAGCCCACGAAATTTCATGACGATCGGTTGAGAACTGTGGGCGCAATCCTGCTGCCATGGCGCGTTATATTATATATATACATATTAGGGTGGTCGTTAAAAATTAAATTTTTTCCGGCGCCCAAAAAAATCCTTCCTTTTGATGAAAAACTATGCGAACAATTTTGCTTTTTGATTTTAAACAAAAAGAACACGTGCCGACGGTGAATTGAAGTTCATTTTTCGATAAAATTATAGTTTTTTGAAATATTTGTCATATTATTTAGATTTGGCAAATAATCTTGAAAACAGGCTTGTAGGAAATTAAATTCTCTACAAAACGGTTTCTTTTGATTTTAGATGAAGTTCATATCCATCGAGATAATCTTATTAGTAAACTTATAAACTCTATTAAGTCAGGTATTTTAGCAATAAAAACTTTATTTTTCCAGAAATATGAACAATTCTCTCAAAATATTCTGAATTTTAGATATTTTCTTCATATTTTGATATGAGTAAATGATTTTCAATTTAATAGTTTTCAAATGAAACCTCTATCGGTAAGTTATCTATGATCAATCTTGTTCATATTTCCACTTGGGAGAGTGGAGCGCCTTTCCGTAAAGTCTAGACTATTAAATTGGTCTAAATCTATAAATTAAAATTAAATAATGCTGTAAAGCGGGAAAAAAGAGGAGTTACGGTAATTATTACGCGAAGCGTTCTACATTCACGTGACAGGATAATTGGGAGCAAGTGATTGAGAAAGAAATTGAAAAGAATCTTTTTAATGTGAGTTTATAGAATATGCGAGGAAAAATTCGGATAACTCGGACTCGGATTCGAACCCAGAACCTTACGAAGACATGTCGACTACTCTACCATTTGAGCTACCCGGTCTATACCAAATTTCCTTTTCACTTATTCTATGTACATTACGCTACACCGTCCATCTTACGTTCCACATTTTTAAAATTAAATAATGCTGTGAAGCGGAAAAAAATAGGAGTTACGGTTATTATTACGTGAAGCGTCCCACATTCACGTAACAGGATGATTGGGAGCAAATGATTGAAAAAGGAATTGGAAAAGACCTTCTTAATGTGAGTTTATAGGATAAGCAAGATGAAATTTTTCATATTTCCGGAAAAATAAAGTTTTTAATGCTAAAATGACCGACTTAATAGAGTTTATAAGTATATTGATAAGATTATCTCGATGGATATGAACTTCATCTAAAATCGAAAGGAACCGTTTTGTAGAGAATTTCATTTCCTACAAGCCTGTTTTTCATGATTTTTTGTCCAAATTTAAATACGGTGACAAATATATCAAAAAACTATAATTATATCGGAAAATGAACTTCAATTGACCGTCGGCACGTATTCTTATTGTTTAAAATCAAAAAGCAAAATTTTTCCCGTAGTTTTTCGTCAAAAGAAAGGATTTTTTTGGGCGCCGGAAAAAATTTAATTTTTAACGACCACCCTAATATAAAACAATCATATCGGTTACTTTGATTTTTTAATTTTTTTATTTTATATCTTTTTATAAAGAAAAAACTAATTTTTTTTCTTAATAGTCTTATGAACGTGGACTTGGCGCGATTTTTTTACAGTGAAACTGTTTTTGTTCGGATTACATTAATACTCCAAGTCTTATTTAATCCCGCATTTAATAATAAATTTAATTGCTCGGGAAATCGATATTTTCCTGCGCATGACTTAACCTGTTACTTTAAAACTTTATTAATTATTCATGCGAATTCCAGTTTATCTTTATTTGAAACTCTTTTGCTTTTACTTTTACTTTTACATGCAGATTTTTATTTATAGCAGATAAAAATAGTCCTCGTAAAAAATATACGGCTTTATCCTTCATTCTTTTTTACGGATGTGAATTACGGTGAGATACCCATAACTATTTTATTAGACAGCAATCGTATAAGAAGGTTATTTATTTACTAGTCTATTGCCAAAAACACATAACAAAATATTGGTTCGTTAAAGGGTTATACAAACTAACTATTTTTTTTAATTCATTTTTGTAGTGTACATATGGGGCATTCCACGCCAAATCGGACGGTTTCAAAAATTTAAGTTTTAGATATTCTCAATTTTTTGGTATTTTTTAGTACTCCCTCAAAAGAGGCCTCCTCATAAATTTTGAGATTTTTTTAATCACTGGTTCAAAAAATATCAAATTTTCAAAAAAACCGCTCTTTTTTTGATTTTTTGCTCGTAACTTTTTTAATAATGGTCGAAATTCAAAATTTTTTTTTCAAAATTTTCGTTTTTAAATTCCCTTTTCTGAAAAAAATATTCAAATTATTTTTCATTAAGATTTTTTAATTTTAAGTTTTTAATCGTGTTTTCCGAATTCTGTGTATCCGTCGATTTTTTTGAAAATTTGCTATTTTGAACTTCTATCCTTCCTTCAACTTTTAAGCCTGGTCCGGTAAAGGTCCTTACATAATTACTATTTTTTATCGATTTTTAAAAATTATAAATTATTATCAGTATCGATTTTTTAAACTCTGTACTTTTTTTTTACTTATAATAAATTGATTTTGATATATTTTTGCCCCAAATAGGAATTTTAAAGGAATAAAGAAAGACTAATTTCATTTACGAGTAACTATTAACAACCGTTTTTATTTATTTTCGTGTTTTTTAAAATATTTTACATAAACGACCGTTCTGTAAATTTGAATACTCTATAGTTATTATTATTAAGTATAAAATAGCTCTACAGAATTTGTCGAAATATTCTCTGATCATATAAAAAATTTATTACCGCATGATTTTGTTGCTAAAGAACAATCGGCTTTTTTGAAACAAAAACAAAACAATCGTTGCAAGATCATGAGTTCATAGCCATTTGCGATTTTGCAGAAAATTATGCTTTTGTGATACAAGATGCAGAGTCAGGGTTTCATTGGAACAATAATTATTGTTTACAAAGTTTACAAAACGGTCGTTTATGTAAAATATTTTAAAAAACACGAAAATAAATAAAAACGGTTGTTAATAGTTACTCGTAAATGAAATTAGTCTTTCTTTATTTCTTTAAAATTCCTATTTGGGGAAAAAATATATCAAAATCAATTTATTATAAGTAAAAAAAAAGTACAGAGATTAAAAAATCGATACTGATAATAATTTATAATTTTTAAAAATCGATAAAAAATAGTAATTATGTAAGGACCTTTACCGGACCAGACTTAAAAGTTGAAGGAAGGATAGAAGTTCAAAATAGCAAATTTTCAAAAAAATCGACGGATACACAGAATTCGGAAAACACGATTAAAAACTTAAAATTAAAAAATCTTAATGAAAAATAATTTGAATATTTTTTTCAGAAAAGGGAATTTAAAAACGAAAATTTTGAAAAAAAAATTTTGAATTTCGACCATTATTAAAAAAGTTACGAGCAAAAAACCAAAAAAAGAGCGGTTTTTTTTGAAAATTCGATATTTTTTAAACGAGTGATCAAAAAAATCTCAAAATTTATCAGAAGGCCTCTCTTTTGGGGGGTACTTAAAAATACCAAAAAATTGAGAATATCTAAAATTTAAATTTTTGAAACCGTCCGATTTGGCGTGAAATGCCCCATATTTGTATATATATGTAATGTAACGCGGCTTGTGTACACAATAGCACTTACAATTCTCAACGGATTTAGATGAAACTTGGTACTTATATTCTTTTGATAATAACCTTGAATGAGTTCGAAGATGAGCGAAATCCGCCAATAAGTTTAGAAATGGTAGCTCTTTAAAATTATAAAAATAGTGAAAATCATGTTTTAGGTGACTTCATTGATGTATAACTTTCATTTGAAAAGAGATGGCTGTAATTTTTGATAAATTCATCCGAAAGCTCACAAAATTGTCTTTCATTTGACGTATATAACCTTGACATTTTAACGATTTTTAATTATTTTATCAAAGATAAGAGTGCAATTGAACTATTTTCAGGCAATGTGTAGTACAACCGACTTATGAATGTTATTCTATCGAAAATTCTCAACAGATCCTAATGAAATTTAGTATATAGATTACTTGGACAATTAGCTTGCATGAGCTCTAAAATGAGCGTAATTCGTCAATAAGTTTAGAAATGGTAGCTCTTCAAAATTACCAAAATAGTGAAAATCACGTTTTCGGTGACTTCATTGATGTATTACTTTTGCTTGAAAAGAGATTGCTAATTTATGATAAATTCATGTGAAAGCTCATGAAATCACCTTTAATTTGACGTTTATAACATTGACATTTTGACCATTTTTAGTTATTTTATTACAGTTAAGAGTGCAATTGAACCATTATCAGGCAATGTGTAGTACAACCGACTTATGTGTGTTATTTTATCAAGAATTAAAATAAATTTCATTCAATGTCAGACGAAAGTTATTGGGATAAGATGATAATTCATTCTGTGAAATCTACCTTTCATTCCGGGTGTGGCCGAATGGCGTTTTTTTTTTATTATATTCAGCTAGACATACATGTGAATTCGTGTTATCCATCAACATGTAAGAGATTTTACTTCTGAAATATTCACGATGCGAAAAGTTAGATATTTTATTCTGCATAAATTTACACCACATTATGATTTTTTGTTTATACTTTAGTCAAAGTATTATTATTTAGTAAATAGTACTCACACTTTAAACAGAATTCACTGATATTATGAAAATTTTGGTAATAATCTTATTTTCCGATTTCAATCACGATAACAATTTTTTTTCTGTTGAATTTTTTATAACGTTGTGGAGGATATAAGCTAATTGACAACTTTTCGAGTGGATAGATTCTTAACTATTTTTTTATTAACTTCTAAAGAGCTTTGTCAATAAATTGTGATATTCATTTAGCTTGACTACCCAAAAAAAAAAAAAAAAAAAAAAAAAGTATCGAATTCTTTAAACCGGGTCAAAATCGGTACATCAGTAAATTGAAAAAATATCACGGAAGATATCACATTAAAAAATTATAATTGTGTACTTATCATTAGAGCGCAAAATAAGAAGAAAACCATTTATGAAAAAATTCACTCATTTTAATTAAAAAAAAGGCGCATCAGCAGTAAGTAATAACTTACTTTTCTATTTATAATTTTAGTTACGCCGTGCAGCAGAACCAAATTCATTTAATAATTGTGCTCAGTTAAATAAAAAAAAAAAGCGTAAAGTCAGTAAAACTAAAAGTAACCGACCAGGTGGTAACGGTAGTGTCGGAGATGATGAAGAAGAAACTGAAGGTGTTAATGCATTATCACCAGAAAAACAATTAACATGTTCGTTAATATTACAAGAAATTAATAGTAAATTTCTGAATGTTGCCTGGAAACCAATGTGATCATTTTTTATTTATAAGTCTTTTTTTATAAGAATAAGTTAATTAATTATTATTTAAAAATAGTGTAAACTATTAATAATTATCATTACATATAGTAAGAATGTGTTTATTAATAATTACATTGAATAAATAGTTTTGATTCAATTTGTAATGATTTTTTTTTGTAATAAAATACATTAATTGTACAAGTACATATAATCCATTCATTAATGCATTTATAACAATTGTAATGATTATAATAATAATTGTGCAATAAAATACAATCTTTTCAATATTATCAGTAATTACTAAATAATTTTATTTAACGTACTACTTATTATTTACTTGAACATAAATAATTATGTTTTATTTTAAATTAATTACTTCAATAATATCAATACATTTAATTATTTATACTGTAAAAGGAAAAATATAACATATAGATATTTGTATGTAAAAAAATACTGTAAAATATAAATGATTAATATTGAAATTATTTTTATATGATATTATTGAATAAACTATACAATAATCAATTAATAAAAAAATTGATGACATGATTTTTACATAAATTATTTCATTTTTTAATATTAAAGTAAAATCTGCAGAAATTTTTATTTAAAAAATCTTATTTAACATGCAAAATTTAAAATTAAAATTGATTTAATTATTTAACATGTGATGTAAGCAACAGTATATAAATAATTATTTTCTTCCACAGCTTTTATCTACTTAATGTTCTTTACGGTAAATTATTTTTAATCATTACATAATATAAAACAGCTATTTCCTGCAAATGCTCGTCGTTAATGTAATTCTGTACATCTCAGTTTAAAAACTCAAAAACATTAAGTTTCCTAAGCGTAGAAAAAAAATATTGACTTTTTGGAAGATTTTATTCAACAAGAAGTCAAAAATTAATAATTGTCAACTTTAATTCAACAAAATGTTACTAAAAAAATTTTTGTGCCGCTTGGATCCATTTATTTAAGTAAATGTTACGGTTTATGGAAAATTAGGATGTAGCTTATTGGGAATAAAGTTCCCAAAATAGCCACTGCTGACGCGTGTTGCTTTCAGTTTTAAAGCTAAAAATTTTCATATTTCTTTACAAAAGAAATCACTATCTACATATAATCGATCAAAAAAAAATTGTTAAAATACTATAATTATAATTGTGTTGCAAATATAGATCAGGTGTCTATAAGTACATACCTATAATTAACTTCTTAGTAATTAATCATAATTCATAATTGATAGGTCATTTTTTCCTACATTGGTTCAATTGAATTAATTATCGTCATGCTACATAACAAAAATAACAATTTTGCAACTATACGTGCATCAGGACGACGCAATAAAATCGGCTATTTTTCTTTCAATTAATAATGTTTTAAAAAGGCTCTGCAGAAAAGAGCTCAATAAAATTTTTTAGAGGTCAAGATTTTTAATTCTAATATTTATTAAGTTAAATATTAAAATAGTGAATTATTTGCGCCACCTTAACGCCCATTTATATCTTCAATTTACTTATAGAATATTTATATATATTTATTTATAAATTTATAGTTAATAAGGCAAGACAATAGTGTCTCAAACTTTCTTCGTGAATAATTATTTATTTTATCTATCTAGTATTTTACTCCAAGCGCAATAGCCGCAACAGTTAATAGAAACTTTTAACTAAAATTTACTCTTGGAAAAATAGACTCGGCAGTGATTTTACATAATTAAAAAAAAAAAAAAAATGAAATAAAATAGGCCTTGTTTTTCTATTTTTAAACTTTACTAGCTTGTGCTTTTAAATTTCCAGCTTTTTGTCGTCTTCTAATAAATGGCACACAGCCCCACAAAGACGCGCCGGCAATTAAAACAATACCTAAGCTACTGAATATTGGTCCATAACTACCGATATGTTCAAATATCGTTCCGCAAATTGGCGGTCCAACGAGTTGTATAATACCGTTGACGAACAAAGAAATACCATATGAAGATGTTAGTTTTTCAGTTCCCAACATGTCCGCCATTATGACAGCAGTGACTCCAACGTAAATACCTGACGCTAGCCCAAAAATACTACAGTAACTTGCTAACATTGTGTAAGAAGTCGATGTTGGCATTAGTGTTAACGCTACACCAGATACTAGTAATCCACCAACAAAGTACCAATGTTTGGGCATAATTTTAGTATCTGAAAGTGCTGATCCACCAATCCGACCTATTAGATCGAACGCTGAATTCAGCGATAACAGTGCAATTGCACGGTTTCTATCGTAACCCAGTGAAATCGCATATACTGGGAGTAAAATAATGAAATTTGTGTAACTGACCGCATTCGTTGAATTTGAAATTAAAATAACGAGATAAATTGGATCTTTAAGAAGAGACAAGTCAAAAAATTTTGTTTTTGCGTTATCAGTTGAATTGTTGGCGTTGTTAGCGGGTTTGATTGTTTTTTCAGGTGATTTCCGGAATGTACTTGAAATAGCGTTTAACGTTAAGTTTGACGCGTACTCCGGTTGCAGTGCTGATAATGTACTGCCGTGATAAGGCGTACTTATGTAATTGAATGATGAAATACTTGGTGAACGTAGTGTTGATTTACGACGTACTGTTGAGCTGCTGCGTTCTGGTACAGCATGTAATGCTGGAGTACTGTGCATTTGTGATGTTATTTCACGATTTGTTGGCATGCTTATTTTACGTGTTCTATTTTGTACAGGAGTATTTTTATAGTTTTCTAATGCAACGCTTGATGCACTTTTTGGTACGGCTTTAGGTTTTGGCGATAGACTGTTATTAGTATTGTTAACTGCAGGAGGTTTTTCCGTTTTTATTGTTGGAATAATGAGAAGAGAATTTTTGCAATTTTCATTATGATTTAACTGATCTGTTTCTTCAGTCTCTTCTTCTTCCTCTTCTTCAGCAACTTGTTTATCTGTTAATTTTTCTACTGGCAATGGTACAAATTTCATGTGCTTTTCTACGGGTTCATATAGCAATGCTGCGGCCCACACGTGTAATAATACACCACCCATGATTAGAACTGCACCTCTAGAAAAAAAAAAAAATAATAATAAAAATAAAGATAAAAAGAAATTTTATAGTTGAGATCTTGTTTTTTTGTTATATATTATCTTATTACATTAGTAGACATGATATATTATTAGATTTTCTTTGAAGTGTTTCAATAAAATTGAGCTATCTAAATATCGATCTTGATCTAACCAAATTTAATCTAAAATTCAAACTACGATTTTGCAGACTAAAAGGTAAAATTTTTTTCTATGTGCCTTTTTAGCTTTAGGATGCTCGAAGTTTTTTTTTTTTACAGATCTTTGTGTTTTGAACGATTTTAAAACCAATGGCAAAAAAAAATTGTATTTTTGTACATTTTGTACATTTTATGCATGGATTCCTATTAACCTATAGCAATGCGCCCTTTTATCTTTTCACACGCGATTTGATAAACGCTAGGAATTTTAATAGCGATGTGTTTAAGTAAACTAACATTTGAAGTTATGTTATGTCTCAATAAAGTTATTTAAGTATTATTATAATCAGTCTGCTTATAGGACATTGAAAAATCCACGAACTTCCCTTAGTTGCGCAAGTTACCCCACACGAGTACGTAAACTTACTCGTAGTACGGGGTAAGTGTGCACATTTTGAATCAATCGCATTAATCCATTTTTTTTTCCGAAATGTTAAGGTTTTAGACTTTATAATTAAATTTAATTATTACCTAAATAAATACTTTAAAGACATATTTTTATTTTTCTTTCATGCTTATCATTTAATTTTGACACTAGTTTTAAAGCTAAAGTGCGCACACTTGCCCCAAACTACTCTATTGGTTACTGATTCAAATTAATTTTTAAAAGTCAACTAATTGTCACAATTAATCAAATTCAGCTTAAAAAATTTTAAATACAAGGTATTATAACAAAATAATATGAAAGAAATGAAAATTAAAACATTACATACTAAGCATGACATGAAGCACAAAAATAATGAAAAAATCAGGTCTTGAAGCAGAATATTAATAAATATAAAATTTAAATATGTTTACCTATATCCGAATTCTTGTAGTAGATAATTTAATACTGGTGGTAAAAATATTGATCCCAAAGCACTTCCTGATATACAAAGACCATTTGCGAATCCTCGTAGCCGCAAAAAATACGACGTAACAATGTAAACTGTTGGTGGAAACGCTAGACCAGCACCAATACCCAAAAATACTCCGTAACTAAAACAAAATTTTCATATTAAAATATACTTTATTTAAAAAAAAAAATTTTTATACACTAATCACAAAAATTAAGGAAATAAACAAAATTGCCAAATTTTTAACAGACTTTATTCAAGTAAAAATCATCATATTAAAATAATACACTGAAAAAACAAAAAAGAAATTAACTTGATTTAAGAAAATTATTTTGAAAAGTTTCATTGTCTTGAATTAAGACGAAAAATTTTTGAATCAAGTAAAATTTATTTAAATCAAAACGATGAAACTCTTCAAAATTATTTTCTTGGTTCAATAATTTTTTTGTTGAATCAAGTTAATTTTTTATCTAGAGCAAAAATAGGTTTTTATAACTCTGAAATACTAATTTTTCGATCTTCCACTTCAAAATTTTTTTCTGATTTTAAATGAAAAAAGATTAATTTGTCTTCAAGCAATGGATTTCTCAATAAACGATAGTTATATAGAGAATTGAAATGAACATTTGAGAAATTAGAATAAATCTTCTAGAAAATTTATTCGTGGTTTTTGAAAAAAAAAAACTTTTTTGTCTTAAAGTTGAAAATTTTTTACCGACTTCAAAAATGCTAAAAAATTTTAGTTCCCTTAACTTTTGTAATTAATTTATGTTTACTTAATTTCATAATAATTGATAACATAAAAGAAAAATCCAAATTACCTGATACAAAGAAATACTATAGAATCAGCAAAAAAACTGAGCATCATTCCTACAGCAGCAAATGTTCCACCAATCAAGGTGACTGTACGATATGAGTACTTAACAGATAATATACTCGACAGAGGACCTATTAAAAAAAAAAAATTAATAGTTATTTGATTTCTAATCAATTCAAATTATCGTATAATTTTTATAAATATACCTAGCGAACTGTAAAGAAAGTAGCAAAGTGCTGGAATCCACGCAGCCATAGCTGATCCGCTTTCAAACACGCTCAAAAATTCAACGAATAAAACCCCAAATGATTTTATTGTTCCTGGTATCAGAACGTTTACCATTACGGCGGCCAATAGGACAAGCCAACCCCAACCACCGTCTGGTGGTATCCATTCTCCTGTGGGTGAAATATCAACTGTAATAAAAAAAAAGTTTGTAAGTAATGTGCTTCAATTTGTTTTCAAAAATTTTTCAACTACTTATTTTATTCTAAGTAATATTAATCAAAATTCGTAAGTCGATTCAAGTATTTGGTATGATAAATAGTTTTATTTCTAAATTTATAAATTAGCAACAAAATATATTTTTTATTATAAGTCAAAAGAACACTTTGAATAGTACACTTGTGGATTTTCAAAGTTTTTTTCCATATTTTATGTTTTCAATTATTAGATGATTTATGAACGGTTGATGGTTAAGTTAAAAAGTGTTTTGCTCATGTATAAGTTAATATTCAATTAAATTATCTATTTAATAAAATTTATTTTTTTTTTTAATTTTCATTTATTTATGCATAAAATGTGTTTTAATATTTCATTCTTTGTACACGTTTGAGAAATACTTCCATTTGTCCAAAAAAGGGCGAGATAGAAAAAAATGTAAACTGTTCTTAAAAGATAAATTTTTTCGAAGGTCGATTAATTTATTGTCAATTAAAAATACGTGTTCGATAAAAATAAAACGCGTTTTCTGATTAAATTGTAAATTACCGTATGAAAAATCCGGTTTGTAATTCATGATTACTTATTCATAGATCGGTTAATACAAGCATGAGTTGAGTAAAAATAATTAGTTTTGCTGAAGTTTGTCAACAGAAAAACTTTAACAAAAGTCAGAGATTTCAAAATTTTTTTAAATTTATAAATTTTAGCAAGTGGAAAATTATAAATATCAAAAGTCAAATAAACATGCTTATCTATAATTTTCGTGAAATCGATTAGATATTAATTGAACAGCATTTAATAGATAAAGGAAACAAGTAATAACATTAATAAACACACTCATACACATATATTATTAATTATTATGTATCTTGATCAATCGAATACTTGATACGAGATACGACTATGTAATTAGATTATATGGTTAAGTGTGTGAAAAGTGTGAAAAGAATGTTATTTTAAAATTCAGAGCTTGTAAGCAATGTAAACAGTATAATAACCACTATAAAACTTGCTCACGAATGAAATTTAATGAAAAAAGTTACTTTTTATTCATAAAGCCAATTTGTGGTTCAGATAAATTCAACAGCCGAATTGGCCATGACCTAGATTCTGATTATTTGGATTTTATTTTTAATCTTTTAAAAAAGAAACTGAAAAAGCTTAAGGTAGTTGCTTTACCAATCTCACTTTCCCATAATTTTTTTTGAAATTTATACAGACTATCCGACTTGTGCCAATACTTCGCACAATATCGTGATCAAATAACGATTAATCCTATTATAATGGCGAAATGAAACTGACATTCGTAACTACTATCAAAAATAAAATATCTTTCATTACACTGAGAAAAATTAAAAAATATTTCTAGACAAGAATTTGTTAAAATGAACAATCAATATGTTAATTTTTTGAAAATAGAATATCATTATCATTGTCAAGAACACAAATTTTCAAAAAAAGTATTTTTTTTTTCTCAGTGTAATAAATATTGAATTTACATTTGCATATTGTCCGAAATATTATGTTAATTACGTAGGCCAAATGTCCCATCTACTCTAATGAATAATACATGATTGGATTGGATTATAAATAACAATTTATATAAATTTTATGAAAAATGTATCGATTTTATTTGATTAGTTTCCCTGATTAAGAAATCTAATTTGAAATCATTCAATCCACGCAAAGTCTATATATTAGTCAACTCAAATCATTTTTAATTGTTTTTAAACATTTCATATTAGATTTTTCAATCAGGGTTGCGTGATAAGTATCCATGTTGTACGTATCTGCGGAACTAAGCTTTTAGACCTATTTTTAACTTCCCGCTAAGAAAATTGAAAATTTTTTAAAATCGGGAAGTTATTGTTTTTACCCCGTTTTTCGAAAATCAAGTTTTCATCTAGTCTAGTCGAGAAGTTGATTTATTGCGAAAAATACTTGCAGGACTCCTAAAAATATGATTGATGGCTTAAACGATCCGGAATGGCGTCTAGAAAAAGGCGTTTTTTGAATTTTTTGAGGAAAAGAAAATTACAATTGTTATTAACAAAAAACCGTAAAAAAATTTAGCCGTCCAGCTTTTTGGCAATATCTCAAAAAGTATAAGTGATAGCTGAAATATTAAAAAAAAGATTCTGAAAGAGCAGAAAATTTTAGTAAAAAAGTTCTCGACTCCCGAAATTGTAGCTCCAATGTTTATAATTTTAATCAAGCGTTGAAAATCAGCTTTTGCGCGGCAGTTTCGGCATGCGCGCGCCCCCTCTCTAGTGAGCATAGTTTTTTAATAATTTTTTTAGGCAATTAAATATTAATTAAAAAATTTGAAAAAATTCTGGTGTCATCTAGACACTTCAAACAATATGATTCCGCGGTAATAAAAGTTGTATCACCATTTTTCAAAAAATTATTCAATTGTTAATTAACATTTTTTTTACGGGTTTATGTTGTCATAAAAGACGGTGTAAAAGTTTAAATAATTAATCTATAAATATTTTGTTTCTTGGAGCCCTTTTTATAAACATACTCAACGATATGGCGTTATCAAAGTTAATAAAACATTTTTATTTCATTAATTATTAATTTTTAAAGCAACAAAAAAATTAAAAATTTAAATAATGTATGTTAAATAATTTTTTTTTTTTAATTTCAAGTTATGACTGATTTTATATTGTTGTTACGCAGCAAATGATTATTTTTCAAATTTTTTTATGCCATT